TTTCTTCTCCTCCTGAGTCTCACTGTGTTCACATGCCTGTGTCCGCGCTGCTTTGCCTCGTCTCCAGCAGCGACAGTACGTAGCTCCTCCCACACTGCCCACACAACGCTCTCCCATCCTCTGGACACTCTCAATGGACAGTTTTCTGACTAAAACTTATGAGACAAAGAGAAAAAGATTGTGTATATCGAGAGTCGCGTCACGGGTGCTAATATGAGGGCATTTAATTAAAGCTTATGTGAAGCCAACAGTGATTCTAAAATATTTAAAAGTTCATATTTTTGTCATTCCTGGGTTCTTCAATGTAAAATAAAAGAGTGAGTGAAAGGTCAAACCCTCCTCTGTTAGAATATTCAGCTGTAAATCCCTGTGGAGCTGTTTTCTGCTGCATCTGACCAGGACGCCAAGAGAACAGTTTTCCTTTCAGACTAAAATAAATGACGACGCAGAACGCATGGAGGGACACGAGCATATGGACTGAACATGTGTATCAAATCATGAGACTAGTTTTGAACGATTAAATATTACCGTATTGTTCAGACTATAAGTCACACTTTTTTTCACGGTTGTGTGTTTCCTGCGACTTATACTCCGGTGCAACTTGTATATTAAAATTTTCAGACTGACAGCCGCGAGAGGCTCTAGGTATCAGTTTTCTGCTCGTGTCTCCTGCAGAAAAAGCCTATGTCCTGCTGCAAGTAATGGAATCTGCAGCAGAAAATGGTAATCGAGCAGCAGAAAGTTTGGAGTGAGCGAGAAATTTGTGAGGGACTGACAGAAAGTAGATATAGAGAACACAGCTTCACGACAACTGGGAGGATGTACCATGCAACTTTCGTGGAAGTCACTGGATGACAAAGCCTGGACTTCAATGACAACCAAAGTTGCCCGGAGTTGCTCAGAAGTGACACAGAGGATAAAGAATTCAATGCATTCAATGGATTTACTGTATTTTCCGGGCTATTAGGTGCTCTGGATTATAAGGCGCACTGTCATTAAATGGTTTATTTTTGAACTTTTTTCACAAATAAACCGCACTGGACTTTTAAAGGAAACCCAACAGTGTGATGGGTGAGTGGTTTTGTTTTGTTTGTGGCGTTCGCGGTGACTCTGGGCTTTGTTCAGTTGTGGCGTGTAGGGAGGGGGCTGTCTGGGACCAACGGATTGTCGGCGTGTTCGTAGTGACTCAGTTGTTCAGTTGTGTCTAGAAGCGGCACATTGCACTTGCTGTTTTGGTTCATTCCTTCATTCCGTTCCTCGTCGGCGTGGAGTGATGAGTGTGTCTGTGGGTGTGTTTCGCCGTGCGGTCGCTGTCTGCTCCGTGTGTTTGTGTGTTCTGTGGGTGGTGCGGCTTTGTAGTTTACTGAAGTCGTGTTGGGACACCCGAGTGGATTCGTGTACAGGGCGCTCTGGATTGTGGGGTGCGCTGTCATTTTTTGATGGGGTTTGATGGGGCTTAAGATCACGTCTAATAGCCCGGAAAATCCGGTAGTGATTTGGAGTGAGATGGAGAGTTTGGTAAACTTATGTTCTGATGTTTATGTTCTAGTTATCTGAATAATTGTTAATATGTTACGTGAACATATTAACAATTATTCAGCCTGTTGTTCTTTATTCTGTTGTTATTACTACAACTTGCCTTTCAAGATAAAATGTTGGTTCCTGGTCCCTGATTTTATAAAATAAATTTCCCCCAAAATGTGCGACTTATAGTCCGGTGCGACTTATGTTTTTTTGTCTTCTTCATTGCACATTTTTTGGCTGGTGCGGCTTATATTACAGAGCGATTCATAGTTAAAAAAATACGGTGTATTGAATATCGTTGCATCCCTAGTACTGTGGAACATTCCAGACAAAACAATAATCTCTACGAACACAAGGCGAGACATCCATCACCTTTAAGCAAAATACAACTCCAGTTATATTCGTCATGAGGGGACAACAATTTAACACGTACCTTTAAATACCTAGCACCTTTTCTCGTTTGCTCATTTCAGTCTTTCTAATTGCGGTTTGGATTAGCTCTTGATAGATCTTGCCGCCCTCTGTTGCTGCTGAGAGGATAGACGGAGGAGGCGGGGGGCTAATGCGGCATGACGAACGATGAGAGCCGTGCACCCAAACCAAATAACGCCATTAGGCCTGCTTTCACCTATAGGAGCTGTGAAATGACCTCCCTGAGCTGCTCTTAAACAGATTACCGCTGCTTACCTGGATAATCACAGGAGCCAATCAGATTACTGTAATGGTGCTGTGTTTTCACATAGTAACAGGCCCACTTCAGCATTACTGGAATAACAGGATTAGAAAGGCACAATATGGAGGAGGTACACATGTTCAGTCCTTGTATTTGAAGGAGACATGCTCTTTTTCTAGTGCTTGGTAATATATTCTGACATACCTGGGTCATATTTACTTTATTTTTCATTGCAAGAGGCAAAATTCCTCAACATGCCTTAGTACTGGAGCGACTGACTTACGTTTCAAGGTCCACTGTGTAACTTTACTCCATGGAGATGTTGGAAATGTTTCATAGTGTGGTTTTAACCTTTCTGTCTCCATGGAGACCAAACCAGCCTAAGTTAGAGATCAGATCTGTGGAGAGGCGACTCTGCTCACAGTCAGAATGCCTGGTATTTTTGAACTATGAAACCACCCGTAATTGAATAAATGTAAGTTAGATCTGTTTCATGCCATACTGGCCATGTTTACACGATTTTTTTTATTTATTCTGAATTAATTCAGGCAAGTTTATTTACAAGTTTTGTTACGGCCACAGGCCTCTAGCTCCTCCTACAGCTATATATGTTTAAAATCTGTGTGCGTGCAAGCCTCCAACTGCAGATGGCTGTGATTGTAGGATTCAATTTAAGATGGCACCTGGATCCCCTCCTGCTGATTGGTGGAAGCGATAACACCTGGCCAATCCTGGGCCTACACCTGGTGTGGACTTGCCTGCCACCTTTGTTGTGTCTCTCGGGGTGTATTTTGTTTGAGACGCTCGAGTCCTTGTGACTTAGAGACTGGTTTTGTTTTTGTGTTGTCGTTTTGTATACTTTGTCTGTTTTAGTTTACTTCAGTTACATCCATTTTGCTACCCTGTTTAGAGCCTCTTTTTGTTAATTGTTAGAAATATCATCTTCTGTTAGCTTCACCTTAACAGTTCTTTTAAATAAATCACAACTTTAATTTTACCATTTTTAAATCTTGGTTAGTTTGTTACTTCCCCCTGTCCCTAGCAGAGCTGGGTCATAACAGTACAGCACAATTCATACACAAAGTCATTCAAGGTGCTTTACAGAATAAGAAATACATTAAAATCACAATAAAAACAAATCAAAACATAAATAATCATCATAAAATTAAAGATTAAAATGAAAAAAAGAGAGAGAGACACTAACATGTCACAGATGGACTTTAGTGCTCGGCCATGGAGACACTTGTACAAGCAGAGCTGCTTCTATTCTCTGAGCCACAGGAGCCAGTGCAGAGACCTGAGCACAGGACTTATGTGCTCGTACTTCCTAGTTCTAGTCAGGACCCGAGCTGCAGCGTTCTGGATGTTCTACAGCGTCTCGCAGCTCGTTTGGAGAGACCAGTGAGCAGAACATTACAATAGTCTAACTCGGAGTTCGTAGTTAAAATATTCTCCTTCGAGTTTACATGGAAATAGTAATTCTGAACTGAGGTTTACATGGAAAACTTGTTAAATCGCCTTTATTTAATTCTGCTCAGGGTCTGGGGGTGGGGATGGATTTTGGTTGGACAGAGACACAAATGTATTTACATCGACCGGAAGAAAACACACACTTCAGCTGCTATCAACTTTTCTGTCATCTCGGTTTGTCGTTACGCCACGGACACAAACACGATCCAAACTTTTTTCAGAAGTGGTTCTGAGGATAATTGAGCAGCAGCTGTAGAATTCTCTCATCACGCTTTATCTCTGTCAGATGAGGAGGAGAAGAGAAGAATGTCGGAGAAGGAGGAAGAAGACAAACTTTTTGAGTTTGAGGCTGTTCCACCTCAGCCCACTCCCACATCCCGTTCACAAATCCAGAGACGTGGATGAAAGTCCGAAGCCAGGACTGGTGGAGCCAGATCATCTGGATCGCATCAGAAAGGCGACACAACAAGCATGAACTGAACCACCAGAATAATTTTTAAGAAGAATAAACGTTAAACATGATCGAGGAATAAATGAATTAGACTTTTAAATCGGAATAAACCACCCACTTACTTCAGAATTAAGTATAATTCTGGATAATCATTTTCATTAAGAATTAAGTGTTTACATGGACTTTTTATTCAGAATAAAATAATATTTATTCTGAATTAAAGCTCTTATGTAAACGTGGCAATTGCGCAGCATTCGAAGCAGAGCGATGGCATATCCTTAGAAACGAGATGACGGGCCCCCAGCTGAAAAGTTGCGCAGTGCACCTTTTAAAAAATGCTTGCCTGGAATCCCAGACTGATATATCTATTTTCTATACACCCCGCACCCTCCATCGTGTCTCAAACCAGAGCCAAAATAATCTTCCAATCAGATTTGAAGCTCATTGGTCATCCATCAACAAGAACAAAATCAAATCCACTTCAGATGAACAGAAAATCGAAATCGAGTTTGACATTTTAGCATCGTGACAGTAGCCCAAAGAACACTTGGATCGATTTGTCTCTAAATTAAACTAGTATTCAAACTGCAGAGGACCTAACATCACCAGAAGCAGCACACGTACCACAGTTTCAGAAACCCTGTATTGGTGTTTTTCAGATTCAGTTTTCCTGTTGTCATGAAATACCCTAAAGCTAAACTCACAAATGTTAAACCTGATCATTTCTATTTTTAAACACACTGTATTACAACAAAACCCTGAATTTACTAATATTTATTTTAGCTGCCCCATCTGTTTTAAATAATATTGTCCTGTTGTGATGTCATCTGAAACCCTGCGTTAGTGTAAATCTGTCTCCTAATGTTTCTATCACTTCTCCAGGAGCGTGACGGGATGCGTGGGATCCTGGAGTCGTACGACAGTGAGCTCGGAGCGACAGAATACTCCCCACAGCTCAGCAGACGAGTGAAGGAGGCTGAAGATCTGCTGCACAAGACCCAGAGCCACAACACTGAGATGGAGGTAGTCGGCTGGAGCTTTGTTTCTCACTGCTGTTATACCTAGATAACGCTTTACAGTATTTGAATAGATTCGTAGTTTAAACTGAGCTGGACAAAGTTCAGAATTCTGTGGTGGAGTTTGCCGTGTAACTGTCAGATTACAGATTTTTTAAAATCTGGTTTATAGTTAACATCCCTGTAATACATGCATCACAAATTTCAGACTTCTGGTCATCACGCAATGCACACTGGGAAGGATTCTCCAAAAAAGTGAGCATCAAACCTCCATGTTTGATTTCCCAGTGGGATGTGTCTATTGTCAAAGTCGACCTTTTCTAGTCTTTTTAACCATATCACTTTTGTTTCTGGTTCTGATATTGTTATATTTTAGTTCTGGGATTCGAACATCACAATTGTGTGGTTGTTGGATCCTAACAGCGGAAAACAGATCGAGTAATAGGCTTTGGAAGTTTGCAAACTCCATAACTGCAAAAGGGAATGAGATGTTTGTGACTACAAACTAGGGGTGTGCAAAAATATTGAAATATCGATATATTGTATCGTTTAATGTGATGATACACTATCGATATTGTGAGCTGCTGTATCGATATATCGCCAAGGGTATTTTTTTGGTATATTTTACTAAATTATTTTGTGACAGTGCCACGGTTTTGTTGCTTGTTTGGAGGAAGGAAACTTTTTTATGAAACACATTTGACATATTCACTGTTTTGATGATTAAAATGGGTGTGTTTCATATTAACTTTGCACAAGAAATGGTTTAACAAAGACAGACTTGAGTTAGGCTTTATTTTTTATTGAACTGTATCAAATCAGTTTGAATATATCGTATCGAATTGAAAGGTCACTGTATCGAGATATGTATCGTATTGTGGCCTACGTATTGTGACATGTACCGTATCGGCAACTTCTTAATGATACCCAGCCCTACTACAAACCTCCGTTCAAACTGTTTCCCTTCCCAATATCATTGAAAAATAGTGAAAGGTGGAGGCGATGGGCAGGATTGATCCACAGGAAGAACCAAAAAGGAAACATTTGGCTGCCTAAATCACCCCAAGTTTGCAGTGAACATTTTGTATGTGGAGAGACAACAAAGCAAAATCCTGATCCCTTGCTCCACCTTGGTTATGAATTTAAAAAGTCAGCACCAAAGTAAAAGGCACCAGCTGTTCACCAAGAAACACCTTCCACTGCAAAGAGACCAAGACGTGATGTTACTGTAAAACCACAAGAACAAGAAAGTGCAGCTCAGTCTGTTTGTCTTCTGCACCCCTCGATTAACAAACAGGATCCCACTTTGTTGTCGCTCCACATACAAAATGTTCACTGCAAACTCCAGATGATTTCTTACTCAGCTAAATGTTTCCTTTTTGGTCCTTCCTGTGGATCAGAACTGCCCATCACCTTCACCTTTCATTAGTTTTCAATTCTGTTGGGAAGCGAAACACGGAGGTTTGCACTCAAACACATCTGATTCCCTTTTGCAGTTATGGAGTTCACAAAGTTCTGAAGCCCATTTTCCGCTGTTAGAACATCCAACAACCACACAATTACGATTTCCGAATTCCAAAACTAAAATATGACAATATCAGAACCAGAAACAAAAGTGATACGGTCGAAAAGACTTGAAAAGATCGACTTTGACAATAGACACATCCCACTGGGAAAACAAACATGGAGGTTTGATGCTCAATTTTTTGGAAAATCCTTCCCAGTATGAATTGTGGGATGACCGGAAGCCCGAAATTTGTGATGCATGTATTACTGGTCTTATCCACATGAAACAAAAACTAGCTTCCAAAAATGGTGCCATTGTTTAAAATCAAAGATGTGATACTTGTCAGTTGAAAGGACTTTCTACCATAAGATTAATATGACAAGTTTGTGGAGTGAATAGGGCAATGTTTGAATATTTCTTTCAAAAAACAATGAATTTCCCGTAGTTATACAGAGCCCTGTCCTTCATCTGAAATTATTACATGATCAAATAGGAAGGGTGGTTCTTATTTGTCCAGCCAGAACCACACACTTTGACAAAACTTTACAAAGCGGCTCTGCACCAAACTCTTATTTATCTCAGGTAAAAGAAGTTAAAGTTATTCTGAATGATTCAAGAACATGTTTTACAAATTAGCAGCTGTGGTTGGAGGTGGTTGAAAGGTGAGCGAAAGGGTCTGACTGTAAAAGTAAATCAAAATGAATAGAAAAGGTCGTAGTGGGTCAGAAGTAGGTCTGTACAAACAGGAACTTGTGGTGCAATGGTGTTTAAAATACAGGGTCATAAAGATTATTCGTATACTTACAACAAATATATACAAAGGATCGGTATGTTTTTGACCAGACAACAACATAATGGATAAAGTCAAAATGTCTTCTTTAATTCACTGAAAGCAGCTCACATAACACAGACGTATGACTGCGCCTCTCTCTGTGCCCAGGCCCAGCTGACCAAAGCCCAGGAGGAGTGTGGCTCTCTGCGGCTGCAGCTCCACACCGTGAGTAGATGTGCTCTGTGTAATCTCATTATACTGACATTAGCCCCGGACTGACCCGTGACCAACTCTCCACTCCGGCCATGTCTGCTCTGCATCACACCAGGCCAGCTTTGGGGGAGTTTAGTGCACTGGGCGACACACCCATATGTCCGCTTTAAATGAGATGGATGTTTGCTGCGGAGAATTTTGGACAACAATGATAGTTCAGTATAGACGGGGAGCAGCTACAGAGACTGGAGGGCACCTAAGAGAACATTTTGACCTCCATAAAAATCTGTCTTTCCCGTCTTCCTACAGGTGTGTTCACTTGTCCTGGTTTGAGCTCACTCTAGCTCTGATGTACACTTGTTTGTTCTGGTTTAACTCCTGTGCTTTTATTATCTAATCCAAGATTCTGCTTTTATGTGCAAAAAGGCCCTTGAAGTACACATTTAATTAACCAGAGGTCTGGACTTGAACTCACAAAATGTTCTTTTAGGTGTGTTCTGCCAACTTTTACTGCAGAGGATGAGGTTACTGCTGTAGTGTTTATGAAGGAAACCGGAGGAAAAGATTTAGCCCAAAGGCCTGTGCGCCCTGGGAGTGCCTGAGGCTCCCCTGGAGGAGGAAGTCTGGCCATTTTTGGTTATAGTGCATGTACACTTGCAAACATTCCATACAATCAGGAGTAAACTAGAACTAAACCTACAACAAAACCTGGACCAGGACTAAAGCAGATCTTCATCAGGATTAAACTGGTTTAGGATTAAGTACACTTTGGCTATGTTCAGACTGCAGGGCTTAATGCTCAATTCGTATTTTTTTATGAAATCCGATGTTTTTGCGAGGTCGTTCACATTTCCAGTTAAATGTGACTTGTATGTGACTCCAGTGTGAACATTAAATGGCCCAAAAGTGTCCTGCATGTGACACTGGAGACACGACGACGTCAACCGCAGCGAGCGTCTCTGTGTTTACAGAAGTTGTCCAAACATGGACGCAGCATCGAGCACCTGGAGATTTTAAAGTTCCTCTCGTACCAGAGCCAGAACATGAACAACTTACTTGTTTTAAGGAGGAGATTGAGAAGGAGAAGGACAATTTTTTTTGGTCGTGGTGTTTTGTGGGACAGAACGTTGAAATGAACGTGTGGATGTGGAGATGTAGCCAAGAGTGGTGAGTGGTGATGTGCTTTACTTCAGTGACACGGAGTTCATTAACAATTTTCACCTACTTCAGCACAGAATAGTGACGTTTGTGGCTTGTTGATAACGTGTAGGTGGATGAATGCACTTTGGCCGTTCACACTGAAGTCGCATGTCAAAAGATCAGATATGTATCGGTTTCAGGAGCACATATTGAAGTGTCCGGGGTCGCATTTGAAAAAATGGGATCTGTGTGGTTCAGACTGTCATTAAAAGATCAGATACAGGAACACAGAGGCCAAAAAATCAGATTTGGGTCACTTCAGGCTGCAGTCTGAATGTAGTCTTTGTCCTCTGCATTTGACCCGTCCTTCAATGCTGCAAATCATCGATGGTGACAACCAGGTGATGGAATCCTCATTAGAAAAGTTACTTTAGAATAGAATATAAACTTCCACCCAGGCAAGGTCTAAAAATGTCCAAACTTTTCACATGTTTTTGTAGAACAATTTGATGACGTCTAAATCTTCCAAAAAGCAAAGCACAGTCTAAAAACCTGCTTATGCTCTGAAGGCGTTTACAGTGACAGGTATGCCCCCCGCTTTCCACTGTTTTGTCTGGGTTCATTTTCTTATCCTCTCCCTCGGGTTACCGTGGAGACATCAGCCGCGTTACGCTAACCGGGACTGACGCGTGAAATCCACCTGTCTGCTAGCGTGCTAATTACTTTCTCCGTCTGTGAACGAGCGTCAAGGAGCTCAGAGAAGCCTGCGCGGGGAAGAAAATCTGAGCAAAAACCTCTGTCGTGATGGAAATGAGCCATAATTGCTAAGATTAGGGAAGGAGAGAGATACAGAGTGTTTTAAAGTGCCTATATTACGCTATTTACTGATTTAAATTCTAACGTTGTTTCCTCATCACAAACAGACCTGGAGTTTTGTTTCATTCACACATGTTTAACACACAAACCCTCAAACAGAAAACCGTCTGTTACACGTTGTGATGTCATGGGGCAATACAGGAAGTGCTCCAACTGTGTTTTTATGTTTTTGAGGAGGTAACAACATTCTAACATGAACTTGAAGCTGGAGTTGTGGTTTGTTTCTTTCACACATGTTTGAATTAGGGATGGGCAGTCGATGACATTTTCTTAATTGATCGTCGGAAGAATTAACGATCGATTATCGATTAATCATTAACGTTTTTATGTTAAAATGACCATCATTATTACTATCTGCACTACTAATCTGGGTAACACTTTATAACAACTACACCTTATTTAGCCTTAATAAAGCATGAACAAAGACTTAATTAAGAATGATTCACGCTTAGTAACTACTTAATTACTACCTTAATTAGCACTTGCACTTAATTTTCCTGTGCTGTAAATAGTTACTCATAATTATTTCATACTTAATTACTCATGGACTAACCATTTGAGCATTTATTAATGATTAGTAAACTATGAGACAATGATTTACTAATAATGTAATGCAATGATAATTCAGGCAGCTGTTATCTGTTAAGTCTTTTTGAGAGCTTTTCTAAAATGAAGACTAATTATCCTTTATTAAGCATTTACTAAGCATGAATCATTATTAATTCTTTGTTCATTATTAATTAAGTCTTTGTTCATGCTTTATTAAGGCTAAATAATGTGTAGTTATTATGAAGTGTTACCCTAATCTGCATAAATAAATTCAACTATACGACATATAAACTGTAACCACTCTAGAGCCACATCAGCCCGTTTGACATTATCATATGTTTAATTCAGATTTGTGCAACTCTCACAGAAACTAAACTTAAAACCGCATCGCTAATTTGCATAAACTAAGTGAAGATAAAACTCCAGCTCTTGTGTCGCTGATGCAGTTCAACTTCTGTTGGATTAAAAGACATGACTCAGGTGAATACAGGTTAGTGTGACCAGATTTACGTTTGTTAAAACCAGGACACCGTACGGGGGGACTGGGGCGGGGACTCGTCATCGACATTGAGCGACTCTCACCTGGCAAAACTTTTTCCCACTGGACACCGAAACATATGTGCTGCTTTGTACACTGTGCACATGGACTCACACTTGTCCCGAACGCAACGGAAAGTGTGGAATTTCTTGTACAAGTCATTGTTAAATACATATTTGTGTTTTGGTACGTTGCAGACTGACCCACTGTTTCTGTTTGTGTCTCGCTCCTTCTGAGTTCAGAGAGACACATGTACGGACCCTGTTTGGTTACACTACACACAGCAACCTACATTCAGTTTATCGATTAAAATGAACGTAATCGATGAAATTCTTAATGATCAATTATCGATTAATCGGCTAATCATGCCCATCCCTAGTTTGAATAACTCTTTATTATGAGGCTGTCTACATCTCCAAAGCTCAAAATGCTCTGTTCCACCTTGTGATGTCATGAAGTTTTCAAGTTAACAGCTCCTTTTACTTTTAGTTCAGTAGTGAGTGTCAAATCCATGGCTGAAATGATCTAAATAATCACTGAAAAAAAATAAAAAAATCACTTCTGGGAGTAGTAAAATATATTAAACTAACTGTGGTCATTTTTACACTGAAATAACATAATTCTGTGAGAACTACAACTTATGTAATAGCAATGGACAAATGTACTTCTTTTACTCACATAGTGGAAGTGTTGTGTTTAATGAGTCAGTTCTACTACAGAATCACCAACACATTTAAAGGTTTTACACTCGCTGCTCACAAACCCACAAAGACTGACTCATACCAAAGTCCTTGTAGATAAATCCCTGCACTCGCCGGCTATGGATTTAGGGCTGGCGCCGCAGTAGCTCAGTAGGGAGAGGGTTGGTTAACTGATCTGAAGGTCAGCAGTTTGAATCCTGCTCTTGACATTTAAAACATTAACATCACTGGGCAAATCCACTGACCCACAGGTTGGTGGTGCAATTCCAGCTCCCACAGATGAATGCCGTTATTGTGTCCATGGGCATGACACTTGGCCCACCTCACCCCCAGTGTCTGTGTACACTGGTGTGTGAGTGTGTGTGTGAGGGTGAATGGTTTCTTGATGTGAAATGATTTGAGTGTCTTGAAGGTGGAAAAGTGTTAAAGAAAATATGATCATTTATTATGCATCATCATATAATATTTACTTTTTTTGTCACAGCAATGTTTATTTCATCACAGCAATGCAAATAATTATGACAATATTTTATATATTTTACTTAATTTATTTACATAAATATGACTTCTAACTTAAAAAAAATAATAATACAATTTGAGTAACAATTACTCACTAAATTCATGACTGTTAATCACGGTGGTAAGTACATTTTACTTACTGTATTTTTTGGACTATAAGTCGCTCTGGAGTATAAGTCACACCATCCAAAAAATGCATAATGAAGAAAAAAAAAAAAAACATATAAGTTGCACTGGTCTATAAGTCACACTTTTTGGGGAAATTTATTTTATAAAATCAGGGACCAGGAACTGACATTTTATTGTGAAAGGCAAGTTCTAGTAATAACAACAGAAGAACAACAGACTGAATAGTTGTTAATATGTAAATGTAAGATATTAACAACTATTCAGATAACTAGAGCATAAACAACAGAACATAAGTTTACAAGACTCTCTATCTCACTCCAAATCACTAAATCCACTGAATCCATAGAATTCTTCATCCTCGGTGTCACTACTGAGCAACTCTGCGCAATTTCAGTTGTCAGTGAAGTCCAGGCTTTTTCATCCATTGACTTCCAGGGAAGTTACATGGTGCATCCTCCCTGTTGCCGTGAAGCTGTGTTTTCCATTCCCTCTTTCCGCCAGTCCCTTACAAGTTTCTCACTCACTCCAAAGTTTCTTTCTGCTGCTCGATTACCGTTTTCTGCTGCAGATTTCACTTCTTGCAGCAGGACAGGGGCTTTTTCTGCAGGAGACATGTGCAGAAAACTGATACACAAGACAAGAGCCTCTCACGTCTGTCAGTCTGAAAATTTTAATATATAAGTCACACCGGAGTATAAGTCACAGGAAACACCCAAACCATGAAAAAAAGTGCAACTTATAGTCCAAAAAATACTGTTATAATAGCAGGGATGTACCGATATCCAAATCTCTCGATAGGATATTTCCACGATATGCATGTCACGGTACAGTATTTATTACGATATTTATGGAAGCTAACAAAATTGTGAATATGCTATTTTTTTATCATAATCCAAGTAATTAAGATTTAAAAGTGCTTAATAACAGTTGTTTTATCACGTAGATTGGACTAAAACAGAGCAAAGGATCATGGTCTACGTAGTTCTGTCAGTTTTTAAGTTGTTGCTGCACCATAACAATGAATTTAAGCAAAGAGATTTGTAATTCGATATACTGTGTTGCCCCTCGATATTACTGTGAGACTTTTGATGGGACAATATCAGGATATTTCGGTTACTGTTACATCCCTAGTGATAAGTAAATTGTACCTGATATTACAGCAGTAAAATTGACTTAAAAAGGACTAGTACTACAAGGATTTTTTTTCAGTGATTCTAGTGAAATTGTACGGAGTTTAAAAACATAATGGAGCACTTCCTGTATCACCACATGACATCACCAGGTGTTTTCTGTTTGAGAGAGGAAGGGTTTGTGCGTTAAACATGTGTCTGTCTGTGATGAGGAAACGCAATACAGAGCCTTTAAAGCTCACAAGAGTCAATTTTGCGTGATGTAGGACCTTTAACAGTGCGCTTGAAGTGTTGCATGCAGATAAAGAGCTACGTGTGTGTCTGGAGGAGACAGCGAGGAGGTGGAATGGGCTCCCACGGTTCAGTCGGTGCAGATTGCGGCCGGTCAAAGGGCTCCGGTCTATTTCCTCTGCTGTGTGTGCGCAGGTGGAGCAGGAGGTGGAGGAGCTGAAGAGGAAGCAGGCCTCGGCGGAGGAGAGCTCGTCGGCACTGAGCAAAGAGGAGGTGGCCATACTCAGGTACGCAGCGCAGTGTGAGATAATGGGATTGTACCAAGATCAGCTTGATAATGGAGTTCAGCAGTGATTGCCCAAACCCTGGTTCCGGAAGTCCATTTCTCATTCATTTTTCCCATAGACTTTCCGAACCCAAAAATCACATTAAAAGTTTGAAAGCTCTGGGCTCTGTGGCAACTAATGAGAACAAGACCATAGTTTTATTTCAAATCTCTTTCTGAAACTTTATAAACCACAAAGTCATTAAAGAATTTCGCAGAATCTTGTGTTTTAAATATTCTTTTTATCCCATATAAATCCATTTTTGTCATTTTTTCAAAAGTGAAAAATGTATTTGCCATCTTCACTATCACTAACCATAAATGTAGTCCTCGTAATGGCTTTTCAAAGCTTAATATCAATTTCAGCAAACACGGCCATGATTATCAGTTTATTAATTAATTAATTGATTTATTTATTGGATTCCCATTCACATAATTTACAATAAAATGTTCCATTATAATAACAAAACATTCACACATAAGTTCATACAGTCCTGTTCCATAGTTTACTGCACTACACAACACTACTACAATTATAATATATCCAATAAATACAATGTGTAACTAGTGACTAAATATAATTATGTACAATTTCCAATATATTTCTTTAACATTTTCTTAAAACTTGGTTCATGCTTGTGAACAGTTAAGGTTTTGGGGGAGCATGTTCCAAAGCTCTATCGCCCTGTACAGAACACTTCTTTTCAGAACATTAGTCCTGGGCAGTGGAAGTATAAAATGTCCATGTGAAGCTCGTCTTGTGATAAAACCTGCTGACCACTAAAGGGCAGTAGTTGTGCAAACAGGCTCAACGTTTTTTGTAAAATACATACATTTTTAAAAAACAAAATAAGGCTACAGGTAAATCTGTCCTCAACAGTAAAGCAGGATAACCTCTCATGCATGATGCTCACGCTGCTCCTAAAAGGGCAACGCAGAGCCAGACGAGCTGCCCTGTTCTGGATTAGTTGAAGTTTGACAAGATCTTTTTTTGAGGCACTTGACCAGATTACAGAGCAGTAGTCTAAATGTGAAAGGACCAGAGACTGAATCTTAATATTTGAAAAGGGTAAAAAATATGCACAGCGTCTTATATTTGAGATGGTTGAACTCATTTTAGCAACAAGCAGCCCATGATAAAGTGGAGTCAATTTTAACACCCAATAACTTGGTCCAATCAGTTATCGGCCACAGTAGCAAGATGATATCGGATCTGTATCGGCTCAAACATCCATATCACACCATCCTTTAATGGTCCGCGTACCATTCGTTCTTTTGAATTTCAATTAAGAATGAAAAACAATAAAATGGGAAAACAGTTTATTGTTATTTCATTATTCCGTAAACTGTTATTTCTTGGTGAATGTGTATTACTCTGTGAGGCTCCTGACTACCGCAGCTGTAATGCCGCAACAATCCATCAAGTGGTGCGGCTTCGTAGTTTACCAAAGTCGTACTAAATCATGCAAAAAACCCAAGGCACTCACTGGTTAAAATAAAACGCCTTTATTAGTTTACGGCATGTCTTAATGGACAAATTACAAAGTCCCAATGCATTTCAGCCTATGGCTTTCCTCAGGGGACAAACAGAATTGAGAGCAAACCATGTGAATTAAATACAAAAAAAAAAAAAAAAACACCAATAGGGCTGCTCCACCTGGAAGAGGAGGAGTGAAGATGCACCTGTGGACACCACCTAATAATGCCACAAGATGGCATTGTTAGAACAGTGGGACATCATAGGGTATTTAAAAACTTATTATTTACAAAAATATATAAAATATATACAAAAAATACCATTCAGTTATAAAAACACAGAGAAGTCCAAATCTTCACTGAGCCCAGGATATTTTGTTGCCTGTAATTTATAAATCCAGTAGGTTTCACAGTGTGAAAAGGAAACTGGATTGTAAAACTCAAACAAAGAGTCTGGTACTAAAACATTTGGACAGATTTTTGAGCGCTGTGTACCACATAAAATCAGTTCGAGGTCAGTAACTTGACCAGAATTAATTAGGGGTGTAATGATATCCAAGTCTCGTGATACGATATCGTCATGGTATGAATCTCACGGTACGATATTTACTGCGATATCGTGGGAGAGTTCACAGTATGATGGGGAGGTAACAATATCCAAATCTCACGGTACGATATTTATTGCGATATTTTGTAGAGGCTGACAAACCTGTTAATATGTGACTTTTTCCTTTCATAATACAAAGAACTAAGATTTAGAACTGTTATTTCTTTGTGTAATCTGCACTGAAATGGAGCAAAGGATCATGGTCTGTGTAGTATTGCTGCACCATAACAATTTAAGCAAAGAGACTTGTGGTTCGATATACTGTGACGGTCCACGATATTATTATAAGAACTTTGACGATACGATGATATTCATCGTATCGTCGTATCATCGATCATGATGTTTTGGTTATTGTTACATCATACATAAGGAGCACCGGATTACAAGGTGCACTGTCCATTTCTGAAAAATCAAAAACCGTAATCATGCCCATTTCAATTTTGATATTTTATTCTCTCTGGTTTATTTGCCCCAGACGTTCTGCTGCTAGAAGGACTTACCTGAAAACATATTGCTACGTCCTCTTCTTTTATGGAGACACATTTACAGCGAGGTGATATCCTTTGTTCAGTTGACAATGAATTCACACACGGCACTAAGCAGCAGAACTTCCAGGGCAAATAAACCAGAGAGAATAAAATATCAAACTTAAAATAGACACTGAGACTGTTTTTTGATTGGTGTTATTTGAAGTAAACATTAAATTAAATATTGGAAATGTGTTTTTTGTTTGATACTAAAACGGAATAATTAAATAACAAGCTGTTTTCCCTTTTTATTGTTTTTTTGTTCTTAATTAAAATTCAAAAGAACGAATGGTACACGGACCCATAATTCACTAAGGCTGAACAATCTGGGGAAAATGTCAAATTTTTTGGACAAACATTGCGATTAGATTTCTGATTTATGTTTTAATAATAGGATTCTGCTCATAGTTTACGTTTTAAGCTTGTCCTTCTGAACGGACACACAATACAAGAATCACATTACCCAACATGTTTGTGCAGACTACAGGGTTAAGAGTACTTACGCAGAATCAGACACAATATTTTCTTTGTGCAGAAAATTATGGTACTTCAAATGCTGCATCCTTCTCAGTTTGCTCCAAAGTGCAGGAAAGGAAAAGAAAACAGCTCAAGGAACACACAACGCACTATCATTTTAACAAGACAGGAAAATGTAAAACTACTGTGATGAAATGAAATCAGTAAGTAACCATGGTAACAAATATAGCACACATAAAGAAGATTGTTCTAGCACGTGATACGTGTTGGGCACCTCTATGTTAAAGGTGCATCGTGTAACTTTTCTGTTGGAGGGACCATCACCTGCCTGTTTCTATGGATATGTCTCTACTGTGCTTGAAATGTTCCACACTATGACATTAAACTGCTCTACCTTACATTTATTCAGTTACGTGTACATTCAATTACACAATTACATTATATTTATAGCTGAAAATGACCTAAAAACAGGCATTCTGGCTGTAAGCGGGGTCTCCTCTCCACAGATCTGACCTATAACTTGGTTTAGTTTGGTCTTCATGAAGATAGAAAAGTTTAATGCGATACCCTATCCCAGACAAAGCAAAAACATCTCCATAGACAAAAGCATTTGACGCACCTTCCACCAAAAAAAGTTGCACAATGCACCTTTAATATTCATCAGTTCATCACCGATCCTTTAAGGCCCATGGGTAACCTGTCAGGAGCAGAAGCACCCATCTCCAGATCTGGAGCTAGTCTTGGTCAGGACTACCGCAGCTGGATGATTTCACCTATTGTGCATGTTTTGGACCGATGTGCTTGGAGAGAATTCACCCAAGCTGTTTTCAGGTCGGCCAGAACGGTGCCAGTGCCGGTCCCCACACCTGTTACTCTGGGAACCAAAGTGCTTACCGCTGAACGAGCTGCATTCAAACCATTTAAGTGAACCCATGATGCGTCATCGACAGAGTGGATTTGCCACCAAATAAAAAACAAGGCCATACAAAAGTGGATGTCACAGCAAGAAAATAACAATCATGGATCTCATCATCGACGCCAGCGAGCGTTTGTACTCACACAAATCATTATTTATCTGCCCCGAGCTTTGCTGCAACATCTGCTGTGGACAAACATCTGCTGTGGACAAACATCTGCTGTGGACAAACATCTGCTGTGGAGGAGGCGGCAGCGACACCCAATCCAAAGATGGAACCTCACCAGGTGAACATGGATTTAGCAGATATTTGTCTCCTCCGCTGAACACTGCACAATCTTGTTGTCACCTGATTTCTCCACCATATTCCACGTTTTCTTTGTTTGCTTATTTTACCACGTGACCCGGATGAACCTGCTGACGACTACTGTGTCGTAGAGAAAACAAGTTTTACTTGGTTCCCATTGGAAAAAAACTTCACTGGAATTGGCACAGTTCTCTGTTGGCCTGAAAATGCTACCAGACACAAGGATAAGAAAGACCTGGGTGTAGGGCTGTCGCAATAACCGTAAAAATGAATCACCGCGGTAGTAAGAGGCCCACCACGTCCACCGCGATCACCACACGTGACCAACGTGACCCGACCCAGAGTTCTGCACAGGTACATTTTTAGAGACCCGTTAACATTCCATCCGTTACTGCACGTGCCCGTGATAACCCAGGACTAACCCAGGACTAACCCAGGACTAACCCAGGACTAAGGTGCGCCCTTATAGACCGCCTGGTGACCGCAGGCAAAAGGACCGGTGCAGAACTTCGCGCTGCATGAAGGTAAGTGCGGCCGTCACCCGATCGTGCTTTGCGGGGCTCGGGGCTCGGGGCTCGCTCTCTTAAGTCCGCGGGTACCCGACCTGGTGCAGGACTCTGACCCAAGCTGCCACAGTGAGAGCTGGAGAGATGCAGCGGCACTTGTTCCAAAGCCAAATGTTACTTCTCTCACACTACACACACTATATCCACACGACAACCAAGGTACATGTGCATCTGCAACAAGAAGCACATCATTAGAGAGAGTTTTCAGAGCCACTGGAAATATTGTAACTCCGGGGGATGTGGGGTGGGGGGAGGGGGTGCAATATCATCGCTGCTTTACCGCACCGCAGGAGAAATTCCCTAACCACGACAGCCCTACCTGGAGGCCTGGGAGTCAGTTCCAGAACCTTCTAGGTGTAAGATGAGAGCATGAGCCACTTAGTCCCAGTGTAAGAAGGGGAAGTGCTCTATATTGACAGAAGCATCTGCTCTGTGGAAGTAGAAACAAAAACAGTGCTGTTTGCCCTTTGCCTGTTTGTTTACACGAGCTGCACATTTGAATGTTATTTTTATTCGATAACTTGGAGTTGGAGTTGAGCGGAACAGTTCATTCAAAGCCGCAGTACTCTGTATATCTCATTTTAGGAGCGACTTGGAGTTCACAAGGTCAGGTTTGTTGACAGCCTCTCTCTGGGAAGCCCTTCAAATTCACTTTGCTCTTGTGGATTACCATACATTTGTTATGTAAGCAAGGCCTCATTATTCCCCCTGCATGTTGCTGTTGTTGTCACACAGGGGAAGCTAACAGACAGTGTCCCTCTTCACACTGGCAGCCGAGACAAATCAGAGTACACGAGGATAGAGAAAACTGTTTTCACTGTTTAAATTGAAATATTTGGATTAAATAAGTAATAAAAATTGGTAATTGCTTTTGGAATCACTTGTAGGACTAAGCAATTAATAATATTTTAATGATGGTCAAGTAATGTGTAATGGTCAGTGAGTCTGAATCTGGGTTGGTTGTTTTAATGGAGAGGTCTACAGCCAATCATCTGTCAGGAAAAAATGTGACTTGGAGCTCAGACTTTGGAAGAAGGCTTTTTTTTGGTGGAAGGGTCATCCCCTGTTTTTTCTTTGCCTGGAATATTCCACTGTATGAAATTAAACACATCTATCAAGCATTTATTCTTTACAGGTGTTTCTACTGCTCAAAAATACAATAATTCTCTCTGTGAATAGGAGCGCCTCTCCATAGATCTGATCTGTAATGTAGCCTATAGTTGTCTCCCTTAAACTAGATCTTTAATCTCTAACGTGGAACAAAAAAAACATCAGGTGACAGACCCGCCACCAGAAAAGTTGCGCAACGCATCTTTAATCCAAAATAAAACTGATTTGATGAATTTGTGGGAGAAAATTGTGCACAGGACAAGATAGAGAATGTTTTCGGTTAAAGACTATTATCATTGATTTAAAAAAAAAAAAAAAAATCACAAATTGTTTATTCTTTTTAGCCATTTAGTTTTAATAATGCTGCTTTTATTTGTGATTAAAAGCGTAAATTGCCTTGTGTTTAAGGGTCTATTTCATTCAAATGACGATTATTAAAGTAGTCAGTGATTATATGAGTAAATTAAGTAAATTAATTACAACTATTCATATTTATTGTTACAGCGCTAAATAATACTACAACTTTTTCTCTGTGGTGGAAAAAAACAAAAACAAGTTAAAGGTGCTGTACCTGATTTTTACTGTTTAAAAAAAAATAAAAGCAGTGGTCCAATGTTATTCGCCACTTACCTTATGCACTCAGAGCATCCTCATTATTCACCACGATGAGTTTATAAGTGCTTTTCACAACTATCTGAGACCAGAGCAAAGATTTGGCATCATGGCTAACAACTGGCATGCCATGCTTTAGGACTATAAGTCACTCCAGCCAAAAAATGCGTAATGAAGAAGGAAAAAACATATATACGTAAGTTGCACTTTTTTGGGGGAAATTTATTTTATAACATTAGAAACCAGGAACCGACATTTCCTGTGTCAAGTCTAGTTGTAGTAAAAACAATAGAAGAGAGAAGAACAGACTGTTAACGTCACATATGAACAGTTCTTCAGATAAACTATAACATAAACAACAGAACAGAACAAGTTTACCAAACTCTCCATCTCACTCCAAATCACTAAATCCATTCAATTCTTCATCCTCGGTGTCACTTCTGAACAACTCGACCTCCGGAGGTAAACAGAGCGCCGCAAACTCTTCTGTGTCGCTGTCGTCAGACTCAGCATCAGTTCCAGTTAGAATTATTCGGGTCTTTCTGAATCCCGACAGGATGGTTTTCAGTGTCACTGAAGTCCAGACTTTGTCCATCCATCCAGTGACTTCAGGAAAGTTTCATGGTGCATCCTACTGGTGTCACAAGTTTCTCTCTCACTCCAAACTTTTTCTGCTGCTCGATTATCATTTTCAGCTGCAGATTTCAAGACTTGCAGTTTGTAATCTGCAAAATCTGATTTTGTTTTTGGGGGCATTTGTGTTCAGTCTTCTCAGTGTCTTTAGAAGTTTGTTTAAATGTTAAATAGTTCAGTGGTGCAGAAGTAATGGTGCGATCGACTGACATGATACAGACAGAACAGAGGCTCTTTCTGCAGGAGACATGTGCAGTAGAGTGAAGTGACAGTGGTGCAGGAGGAACAGGAGCAGCAGATACTCACACACAAGACTAGAACCTCTCACAGCTTCACTGTGAAACTTTTAATATATAAATCACACCTGAGTATATGTCGCAGTAAACACCCAAACCATGAAAAAAAATAGTTCCTTATAATACATATACATATAATACAGTATGAGAAAAACAGGGTCTTTAATTCATGCTGAGAGAAAAGAGACTGAAGTTTTTGTCTGTTTTTGTCTCATGTGGATATGCCTAGAAATAACAGAGAGATTGCATTCTACAGTTTGAAATAGTCCATTTTCCAGCTCCACACTTTTTGACTTCTATAACATCACCTGAGTGCGTTCTATTGAGTTTGTGGGGGCTTGTGTTGCAGACAGAAGATTGAAGACTTGGAGGCGGAGAGACAGCGCTTAGAGCAGCAAAACGGAGAGCTGGAGATGAGACTGGAGAAGAACACTCTACAGGTGGGTTAGCCGAGCAGACAGACCCCCTCCTCCTCTTCTTCTTCTTCCTCCTCCCTCTCCTCTCCCACCTCCTCCTCTTCCTCTTCCTCCGCTGGGGCTGATGGATCTCCGCGTCCTCCACAAAAAGGAAACAATTTGATAACCCCGCGAGCGCTGGGACGGCACCCATTCACTCACACAGACCTGTCCTCTAACCCAAACGCTACAAGCACCCAGCTGGCACGTCAACAAAGTCCTGTGGGAAAAAGATGTTCTGACGCTATACATGTGTTAAAAAGAGCTTTAATGTGTTCAGTGTTTCCTGCTGTGTTGTTTTAGAATTCATGGTGAATTAATGAAGAACTGTCCAATTAGTCACTGGATTTAAGATTTTAAAGAGGGGGTAGAATCCGTGTGTCATTTGTTAATACATTTTTCAAAATAAAAACAAAAATAAGAAAACAAAAAAACTAAACTAGTTTCTTCATTTGTCTCCAAAACCAAAATGAAAAAAATGGGTAATGATTTGTTTTTTTCAGTTTTCGATTTTGTGTTTAAATGAAGAATGAAAAAAACGGATCACAGCCGTTTCCCGTTTCCGTGACTTAAACTGTGATGCCGGATTAAAACAGGACTAAAAACAGGACTAAAACAACAGGACTAAAACCAGGACTGAACAGGACTGAACAGGACTGAACCAGGACTGGACTGAACCAGGACTAAAACAGGACTGAAACCAGGACTGAACCAGGACTAAACCAGGACTGAACCAGGACTGAACCAGGACTGAACCAGGACTGAACCAGGACTAAAACAGGACTAAAACAGGACTGAACCAGGACTGAACCAGGACTGAACCAGGACTAAAACAGGACTAATCTTGGACTTAAGAGCGAGAGAGAACTTCGAGCAGGGTGTCCACAAAGCTTGATCATGTGTCAGCTGCTCTTAGCCGGGTGTGGAGCTCTGCGCAGGTCCTGTGGTCACCCAACAGTCTACATGGGTGCACCTCCGGACCCGTCCCGACACTCAGTCCTGGTTCAGTCCTGGTTCAGTCCTGGTTCAGTCCTGGTTCAGTCCTGGTTCAGTCCTTACACGGCGCAAAAGTCCAGCATCAGAGTTTAAGTCATGGAAACAGGAAACAACCATTATCTGTGTTTTTCCATTATTCATTTAAACACAAAATCGAAAACTGAAAAAAAAAAAATAGTTATCTGTTTTGTCATTTTGGTTTTGGAGACAAATAATGAAGTTTTTTTCTTATTTTTGGTTTCATTTTGAAAAACGAATGATACACAGATTGAGTATTTTACTTCTTTGGGTTATTAAATGAAAACATAATATATTTAGGTCACCATGTTACCTCTTATTGTTTTAAAAAAATGCTATACTCTCCAAAAACAAAGTATTAACGTGTTTATAAGTTTCAATTTCATCCTCCCTCCCTTTGCTCACTGCACTAAGTCATTCCCCCTTCAGAGCGCTATCACAGCACAAACAGCGTGCATCCCGCTAATGAAACTATGGCATCAGGTTTGCACTACATTGCATCAGGTTTGTGAAGTTGTGGTGTATTGTTTTGTATCATGCTTTTGTAGATTTATGGAGGAGTGTCGTGTGGGAGCAGCTAACCGGAAGAAGGTTCTGAATAGGGTTCAAACTTGCATGCATGACACATAAGACCTCTTCAGGCATGTTTTTGATAAAGGAGGAACATTTAAACATGGTAGAAAGCTAAAACAAAAGTGGATTTTCCATAATACCCCCTCTTTAATATACTGTGATTGCAATTAGTTTTGCTAAAGATTGTGAGTGTGCATTGTAAACAACTCCAGGAGCATTAAGAGAGATGCAAAGTTGAACTAAGAATTAAAGATTAAAAAGAAATTAAAGATTAACTAAGAATCCCTTGTGTCCCTTGTAATGGTCACATTTTTATACAGCATTTTTCCACCTTCAGGGCACTCAAAGCACTTTACAACAAGGAACCACTTCACAAATTAACATACAAACACCAGTGTACGCAGACACTAGGGGCAAGGTGGATTGCCGTATTTTCCGGGCTATAGGTTGCGCTCTTGAGCCTCCAAACCCATCAGAAAACGACCGTGTGCCCTGCAGCTCCACGAGTTCAGTAAACTGCAAAGCCGCACCACCCGCCAACACACACGGAGCAGACAGCGACCGCTCAACCAAAAACACCCGAACGGAGCGAAAAAGCGAGCGCAATGTGCCACTTCTAGACACAACTGAACAACTGAGTCACTGCGAACACTAGGGGTGTGCAAAAATATCAATATATCATATCATTAAATGTGTTGATACTGTATCGATATCATGGGCTGCTGTATCGATATATCGCCAAGAGTATTTTTTCTTATATTTTACTCAATTATTTTGTTACAGAGCTACAGTTTGTTGGTTGTTTAGAGGAAGAATACTTGTTTATGCGACGTATTTGACATTTTTACTGTTTTGATGAGTAAAATGTTTGTGTTTCATATGAAGTTTGCACAAGAAGTGGTTTATCAAAGTGTCACACTCATGATTTAGCCTTGATTTTTGTTGAACCATGTCGAATCAATTTGAAATATATTGTATTGAATTGAAAGTGTACTGTATCGAGATATGTATCGTATCGAGATATGCATTGTATCGTGGCCTATGTATCGAGATATGTATCGTATCGGCAACTTCTTAATGATACCCAGCCCTAGCGACCACGCCAACAATCCGTTGGTCCCAGACAGCACCCTCCCTACACGCCACAACTGAACAAAGCCCAGAGTCACTGTGAACTGTTAAGTTTCCTTTAAACTCTGGTGCAGCTTATTTATGAAAAAAGTTCGAAAATAGACCATTTTATGACCATTCAAAGTGCTCCTTATAATCCAGAGCGCCTAATAGTGCGGAAAATACAGTAAGTGTCTTGTTGGATTCGAACCACCAGCCTTTGGATCAGTGGACAAATGCTCTACCGACTGAGCTGATGTACAGTTTCGAGATGACAAAAGTTCTGTTAGTTCTTTGCATTCATTATATAAATAATTGCCGCCTCTGCGATTCAGTAATTGCACCACTTCATTTTGTAATTTACATTTGATTTGGATTTTCTGCACGGTGACGGGCCTACACTGTGCCGCTGAGCCGTGTTTGTCTGCTCTGGGTGAAAAGTTGCATCACTTTTTGAGGCTGCACTAAAAGAAAATCTCTTAAAGCTTGCTTCACACTAGAGGATTTCAAAATCTTCAGTTTTTAAGACTTGTCAAAAAGTGTGTAGACTACAGACACAAAGACATTTTGTAGCGATTTGTCTCATACTCACTTGAGGAACAGCCGTACCACACACCTGCCGCTTCCACCAAGGATTTTCTGCAAGTGTCACATGATCAAACGAGCAGCTCTAATGAAAACAAATACGTGAGGATACGAGGCGAGCCGCGTGCGTGCCTCTCCACGCTTTTATTCACCGTTAAAATGAAACTAAACAATGAAACGTGTGTGGGTTCCTGTATGCAACATTGCAGTTTCAGTTCATTTTTCCTGTATCCATGGCGATCCTGCATGGAGCTAGCTTTTTTTTTTTCTTTTTCAAATGACATTACAATCACATTAGACAAGCCAGATGCTTTCTTTGATGTTGCATTCGTTGATCCATCCGTCTTCCACTTGGATCTCGGGTATGACATCATGTCCACGCTTCAACCTTTTATTGTTGGACTCGGCGTTGGTGTCATGTGATGGTAGATCATTTTGGCATGTTAGCTAGCAGGAAATTGGCTAAAACCATTGGGTTACACTGAATACTGAACCATAGGCAGTGATACAGACACAGTAAAGTACTGCAGTAATATAGACGCAGTAAGGTATTGCAGTAATACAGACGCAGTAAGGTACTGCAGTAATACAGATGCTGAAAGGTACTGCAGTAATATAGACATGGTGAGGTACTGCAGTAATACAGATGCAGTAAGGTATTGCTGTGATACAGACGCAGTAAGGTACTGCAGTAATACAGATGCTGAAAGGTACTGCAGTAATATAGACACAGTGAGGTACTGCAGTAATACAGATGCAGTAAGGTATTGCTGTGATATAGGCGCAGTAAGGTATTGCAGTAATACGAGTGACTGAAATTGCCATTTAAATCACCAAAGCATCCAAACACAAAGGAAACGGTTTATACAAGTGACACCGGATGCATTAATTTTGGATTCTGATTGAGAATTCTTGCTCAATCTCCGTTCTAGGAAAAGGGGCGTGTCAGTCCATATCACTAGGCAACGTCCACTGACCTCTGAGTCGGTAACAAAATTAGTTACCATACATACAGATCAGAAGTACATGGGATCAATACATTTACCAAGAGAACATTTGTGGTTGGAAATGTTCAGTCATTTTAATTTAATTTTAAATTTGTTGCTGTTGGCTTCCAATTTCAATTCAGTTGGTAAGCAGTTCCACAGTCTAGTACAGGCCAGGGCATTGTCCAGCTCCCGGGCCACATACAACCCTTTGATTGACTCTGACCGGCCTGTCTCATGCAAAATAACTCTTTTCACATTGTGTCTTCTGCACATACACAAACACAATTTGGGTTTTGGAACATTCATTACACAATAGTTTTGAAGTCTTACTGATTTCTTGGAGACAGTCACAGACCAGGATCTATGAAAAACCGACTATTGCTCCTCCCCCGCCTGTCCTGAGAAAGCACAGGCTCCGCCCTCCAAACGTGACGTAGGCGACGAGTGAGTCGCCCTTCCTCCGCCATCTCAGGGAGGGAGGGGGAGACAAGCGTGCACCCTGATAGAGGCAGGAATAAACTTTTATTCATCATGGCGATACAACGCGTTCAGCCGCATGTGTTGGACCCGGAATCGGATGAGGAATTTGAGGTGCACGAAGCTCAAGCACCGCGTCCACATCAACTGAACATTACTGATTGGTAAAGTATTAATAAACACTAGTAGATCAACTTATTATATCGTGTTCACTGCAGTGTAGAACAATGAGCTTAT